CGCTCTCTAGCTTATCTACTAAGTAGTAAACGCTATAAGAAAAGTTTAAATGCGTATGTCATTGCGTCGTTCGTGTATGCTACGTACATCTTTGCGCGTACGGAATATATATCTGAATGTCTTCTCACGCGAAATATATATGATTGATACTACTCGAGAGTTAGAGCTGCCTCGCGCGCGTAGAATCGCGTCGAATAGCGATTGACAGATGTATGTACGTATATCGAATACGCGACCGTTTGAAGAAGATGCCGCTGTCCTTGACGTGTTGTTCGATTTTTTAAAACGAGAGACTGAGACTTAACGATAAAGTTTACTGTCGGTGCACGGAACTTAAAATAATGGAACGGAGAGGTACAATAGTCGCCTCCTAGGAACGTTTTTACATACCGAACAGTTCAAGTAATCGTAATGGGAGTCTGATCCAAGATCCGAAATCGAAAAACAAAATTATCGACACTGTGTCGTCTAACGATCCTGTCCCGCAGGCATTTAAAACGCAACGAAATACTCTCGTTTGTCGCGCAATTTCGCTAATAATGACAATAATAACCATCTCTTGTGCCCGCTCTCGCGTGTCCTATGACAATATTATGCATTAATATATACGTATATACAATGGCGAGATGTGGGGGGAGCGCTCTTTTTTTTTTCTTCTTTATTCTTCACCATAACAAGAGATGTGACATCGACGTGCGAGGATCTTCGCAGGCTCGAGCATTCAAACGTGCTCCAATCCGATTTATTCACGCCACCGATTCATTGAGCATCGTCTGATATTGTCGAGCCTTTAATCACCTCGAGCAATTAATTATGCCGCGGTACAATAATAGATACGCCTATAACAATAATGTCGCAGTAACCACGATCGTAGCATAATGATACTAATCGTCCGCAATAGGGTATGTGCACGCAGAAAATAGAGCGCTGAGAGATGAATCCATTGCGATACTTTTACTTATCCCTGCGCAATCTAATTTGCAAATTGTAATTGGATAAATAACTATAGATACGAGTATGTCCAGGTGTGTGATTAAAAGAATCAGCGGTATTTTTTTTTATCGGCTTTATATATCTCTCTTAATTAGAACGTTTATCGCATAATGTTCGCTCTCAAGTTTAGCTGAGAAGTAATTATTACTTTAAATCTCTCATAACGCGTTTTTATATACTCTCTGAAGATTATTTTTTTTTGGAGGTTTTGAATGTTAGCAATTAATAAGTAAATGCTTAGATATTATCAGGTGTGCGCTGCATTGACAAAGGCAAAATCCCACACTGACAAGGTATATATCTTTGATGCTGAACATGAAAAGCGTAGAAAAGAACAGCTAAAGAAGTTGTTTGAACGTACTCCTGAACAAGTAGACGAGGAACAGACTCTACTTGCTGAATTACGCAAGATTGAGCAAAGAAAAAAAGAGAGAGATAGAAAAACGCAAGATTTGCAAAAATTAATTACAGCAGCTGATCATCAAGCAGATCCCAGGAAGAGTGAGAGAAAATCTTCCAAAAAAAGTAGCAGTTCTTCTAGGAATAGACCAAACAAAACTGATACTTCCCATGTAAATGCTACAAAGTTTTACTCTTTTATATGTAGTACATTTATTTGCAAAGTGCTTGTACAATTTTTTAAAATTTTGTAGGCAGTGGAATCAGCTGGAATTAAATTCCCTGATTTCAAAAATAGTGGTGTTACTCTTCGTTCTCAGAGAATCAAATTACCAAGTAGTCTTGGTCAAAAGAAGATGAAAGGCATTGAACAAATGCTAAATGAATTAAAATTAGGTAAGAAACTATAGTTTATACTTTTTATATTGTATTTCTTGTACAATTTTAAAATTGGGAACAAACCAATATAAACTGGTGTTTCTATTATAGAATTGAATCCACCACCGACGGAACAGATATGTCAGCAATTTAATGAACTACGTAGCGACATAGTTTTGCATTATGAATTGAGAAGCGCGTTGTCGACATGTGATTATGAATTACAGTCTTTAAGGCACCAATATGAAGCATTAGCACCAGGAAAGGTAATTGTCAAGTGTCATATTTTAAATGGATATAATTCCAAATAATATCGATAATAATCGATTTTGAGCTTTACGCATCTGATGCATCTTTCTCTTTTCAGACTTTAACAATACCAGCAGCACTCCTGCCAAAAACAGAACCTGAAGTTAAAGCAGATATCATCGATGTTGTTGGATCGCCCAGCATGCCCAGTATTACTCATTTTTTTTTTTTTTACTTGCGTAATTATATAATGGTGATAACAACAACGGTAAGAATAATTTTATAACGAAGTAAGAGAGAAATTTTTACTAACGAAATGGGATAAGAGAGCGGTATAACAGCATTGGTATATTTTATAGTACGTTGATAACATCTCAACTCTCTCTTAGATGATTGATTCTTTTCTCTCAGGAACTTCATATAAGACGTTAATGCTAACAAAAATATTGCCAATTCTAAATATATTCAATTACTCGATCCAATTATATGTATATTGCGTCGCGTTAAAACTGAAGAACAAGAGTTATAATGCGAAAAAGATACTCGTTCTCTCTTTCTCTCTCTTCTGTAGAGATTAATGCTGAAAAAGAATCTATACTGCATGTATCGTGATATATGTATAATAGAATCGAGCGAGACAAATATAGAGCTCGATCGTTCATTAACTTAGTAAATATCTTTGTTTTTGTTGAGTTTATTGAATAGTAATGCGGGATAGATAGAATGTAAACTCTCTTGTTACTTGATTATTGTCGACTGTGTATCAATAAATACTCGCGAATCAAAGTTTTGAAGAGTCAGAATATTCTTATACAATATTCAGCGTTAAAGCGAGATCTTTGGAAACTTTGAAGAATCGTTCGCATGACTTTAATTTAACGCTATCGTAACGTTGCGCTTCTTCCAACAATCGGTTTTTAACTGACTATTTAATATGCAATTAATACATAGCGAAAACTTCTCTCTCGAAGAGTATTCTAAATAAATATCTACGTTAATTCGAGATGTTGTATAACGTAGCTTCTTTTTTTCACTCGTTTTAAGTACTTTCTGTTGCATGATACAGCATTAAAATTCAGGTAAAGAGTGACGTAGGCAAAGGTGTACCTTCGTAAGAATCGGATTTAATCACGCAAGAAGTATTTCTGCCGTTCGAGGCTGCTTAATATCGCAGCTTCTCTAAAGGAGCCACGCGCGCCAAGAAGATACACAATCTCCTTCGGATAATAGCGTGTAAGAGTGGAATTTTTCTGTTCTACCGCGCAAGACTCCGCAGGAAAGCGTTGCCAAATGGCAAAAGTGGAGAAATGAGCGGTTAGCATATAAAGGGAGTAGTGCAAATCCGCGACAAGCCATACGCCGTACTTTATTAAAGAGCGTCACCCACAGATAGCGTAATTTTCATTACGAACAAGTAGAATGAGTTTAAACGGACATCATCTCATTACGGCGTCGCCGTTTTAACGCATCGGGGAGTCATGTTTGCACTTTGATCGTGAAAAAATTTGCAGTTGCGAATAATGTAATCCCTTTTATTTTTGCTTGGAATAAATCGTGTAATATCTCGTTATCGCGGAACTTAATACCTGTCTTAATCGTCAAATTATTTCACAATTGTGATGAACGTAAAGTAAATGGATGCAGAAAAAAATTTAGATGTATTGTCGCGATTGTTATTATTCAAGTATAAATTCCAATTTAAATTCGAAAAAATTACTATCACTTAATACTCGATCGTTGCCTGTTAAAATCATTAGAACCTTTAATTAATTTTAATCTTTAAATAAGACTTTAAACGTGACTTTTTCTAAAATTGTCCACAATGCGTTAAACGGATATTGCATCCTTTTTCCTCTCATATCTCCATTGTCAAAATTGATATTGCGAATTCTTATCGTAACAATTTGTATTAATAATTTATTTATATTAATAAAAGTCCGTCAATAAGTTCCGTCACCGCCGTGGCTTTTCTCGCGACGAAAGCAAAAGAAGAAACGGAATTGAATTGCAAAAAGATCACGAGGGAAGCGTCGCGATTGACGAGTAATTCGACTTAATTGTATATAGCATTAAGTGTGTATATAGAATACGCGCGTTTGTTTATTATATCCCTCTCGCTGTCTCATTTGCTTGTTTTGGACACTCGCGCGTATATTTTAGTTTTGTCGTTAAAAGATTTCCTCTTTCTGCTTGTGTTTTTTTGCTTTTTTTTTTCGCATAACATGTAACATGAGAAATCGTATTTTACTCGTTAAAGACATCCCTACACAACATGGCTACGATAATGCGTAATGGATATGTGCGCAAGTGCGTGTGACGAGACTGACGGTAAGAGACGAAAGGCTGCGATGGTGGAGGAGGAGGAAGAAGAGGAAGAGACCAGGGATCGCGAGGGTGGAGGAGATAAAGTGTACGCACGTGCGCACATAGGCACACGTTTAAGGTATATGTATAGATTCTGTATATATTCAATCATTGATTTTCGTTAAGTAACTAGCTTTTTCGAGTATGTATATATATACACATAGATATATGTATATATACAGAACATATATATGTGAATATATATATATATATGTATATATTTGCAATTAGGTAATAATTAATATATGCGTTCAATCACTCCGTCTCTCGGAATTCGCACGAGTTTACTCTCTCTCTCTCTCTCTCTCTCTTTCTCTCTCTTTTCCTTTCGCGCTCTCGAGTGATCTCTCGAACTGTCACTCTCGCACGCATTTCACACGCATCCCTCGAACAGGCCACGACTAGAGTGCCCTACCTATGCTACGGCGCTATGGTAGACAACAACAAGTAATATCATTATCCTAAAACTTCTGATCTTTTTCATTTTCGCTTGTTCTACTTTCGTATCCGCGTATATATGCCGTAAAAATGTTGTATATAATAATATTAATATTGTTATATATTCTCTTCGTTCTTTTTATTGCACACGCGATGTCGTGCCCGTTGACGTCAGCGCCGTAAGCCGGTCCGACTGATCCGCGCCCCCCCCCCTCCCTGTTCCCTTTGGACACAAAAATCGTTGATCATTAAGGCGTCGATCATTAACAATGATCCTCCCGAGAATGCTCCCGCTCGTCGTCTTGCTCTCGATCTCGGGCGTCAAGTGAATCACGTTCGTCATTTGACGCACGAGTGGCGGAGCGGCCTGGAACTCCCGACGCTGACCCCCCACGGCTTCTCCTTAACATTAGCGTGTTTCTTTTTTTTTTTTTTTTTTTTTAATGGTATCTTTTTTGTCCATCATGACTTTTTTTTTTATGTTTGCGATTAGTTCCGTTATACTCGTTAAACTCGTACTCTCGGTTACGCGATCTCTAATTTTAAGCTGAGATTCGTCCCGCGCGAACTTTCGAACGTGGTCGTTGATACACCTGTCTTCGGTCTCTCCTTACCTTCGTTCGGGAAAATTGTTCATCACTTTTGCGATCGCAAAATGATGAATTTCACGATTAAGCGATTTCGTCCGAACGCATCGTTGTACACTCTCTCGTCACGCATAAAACGATTATTATGCCTCGGCCCCGATCTAAGTAACGCGTCGAAGACGTATCTTACGAACATCAAGAAACGAAATTTTTTTTTTACCGTAATAAAAACGTCCCAACTCGGAATCGCCGACGTGAACGTATATAACGCTAAATATTTTACATATTTATATGTGTGTGTGTTGCGTATTTATATATTTATATATTTATATGTATATATTTATATTTCTTCTCGCTTCGTCCCCTTCGTCTTTCTAGCACTCTGTGGTGACCTAATTAATCTCGTAAGTCGTGATTTTTTATAACTACGCGTCGTATCCCGTAAATCTACTACTGCGGCGATGGACGGGGGTACAACCCTATATATGCGGCGTTTTAAAAGAGATGACAATAATGAAATATATATCAAAAGAAAAGCCCGAGAGAAACGCGAGGTATACTCTCCCGAATTTACGTTACGTCCAACACGCTGATCGCCCAGAGAATCGCGAAAATTGCATCTCGCCGTATCTTCCCCGATACGCGATTCAATAATCGACGATCCAACGTTCATTGATACACGTACGATACATATTTATATACATATTTATATAATCTGTAATAATAGAAACTTTATAACGCGCTCGTATAACCTCATCTCTAATTATCTTACGACTTAAGTCACTAATAATACTACCAATTAATCTCAGTTATCATATAATCAACATTTTTCTCTTTGATATGTGCGTTCGCGCTTTGTCAATGCCAAGAAAATATTCGAAGCGTTTGATCTTATTCGATCGTTCACAGCGTGCGTATTGTGTCCCTTTTTATTCCGCTATATCCCGCGTTATTTTATATCCACGAGTATCGTAACGATTATATATCATGTCATTCGTCGTGAAAGAACAGTGACGTTCTTAGTATACACGATCGATCGATGCGGAGAACAAATTTGTGTCACTCGGCCCTTCTTTAACAAACTCGATGAAATTTGAAAGATCGTTTTGATCCTCGTCGCGTGCCCGGCTCTAATCTACCGACCTTGTCACGATGTAAAAATTCCTCTACGGTTCTCGAAAGCTACGTTAAAAAGTATGAAATCAACTAAACTCTTAACGTTGCTTAAATTCTAGTTTGGAGCGTCTTTTTGCGAGCGCGCGACAGGTTCCGGATCCGTATAAGATAACAGCTACCATCAACTCTAAACAGTACAACGTATTGTGCATTCACATAAAAATATAAAATAGTCTAACGGATCCTATATATATGATAACAATAAATTTATTTTTTTTTCCCACGCGACTAAAAGTCTCGAAAGCCACCTTTGGAAAAATGAAGCTTTTGTAAATATAAAAAGATAATTATATTTCTCAAAAAGATTTTTTACGAGAGAGACGCTCTTATAAATTTAGAATGGTCTATATCGGATACTGATTATACTGTTTCGGGTTGAATGCATTAACTGGTGGGAATTTGTTTCGTTCTCGTTCTCTTTCACATAAATGTATCCCTTACGTAATAGGGTTGGCATCGATGCATTGCACTTTAGTCTTGACAAACTTGCCGGACAAACAATTTTCATCTTTCGAAAACACACTCCGTCTCGTCGCGTTCACATCTCGAACGTAAATATATATATATATATGTGTGTGTGTGTGTGAGTGTGTGTGTGTGTGTGTGTGTATCTGCGTGCATGTATGCATTGAAATAAATTTTATTTTCTTTATTTTATTTCAATTTTCTTCTCTCTCTTTCTCTCTCTCTCTCTCTCTCTTTGTCTTTTTTATTGTTATTTTCATGCTCTATAAATAAATGTGCCAGTGTACATACGTGCGTTCTGACAATTTGATAACACAAGAATCGAATCAAATTTCATGTACTAAAATATAGTACATATATATCTTACATACAACTGATACATACATACATACATACATATGT